AAATATAGACTGGGTACATGAGGCTTGTAGGAAAAATAAAAAGGCAGCCATGCACACATACACACACACACACACACACACACACACACATATGCATGTGTATAATCTTATGTAAAGTTATGTAAAAATTTGCCCACGCCAGAAATCAATAAATGACTAACATCCATGAAAAGATGAAAAAGCTTATTCAACCAATAAAGATTAATGCATGTAAAATGAAAGTGAATTAATAATAATTTAAATATGGCAAAGCTAGAGTGTCACTCTACATTTTTTCTCCTTTGGGGACAGTATTATTCGGGATCCTAACACCTTGAAATGATGCTGTCCCTTTTGAGGGTCTAAAAGGATTATCTCAGTTGATCTTGACCACATCTTGCTCTAAGCCAGAGTGAAGAGGGAAGAATGTAAGGCAGGCCTTAGAAAGTAACTGAAGTTGTGAGCCGGCTTAGATCAGGGTTGGATTGAGGGTCCCCAGCTCCATTCCACGAGTGGGAATAATTAGAAGGCAACGAGCACTACAGAGAAGCGTTAATTACCAAAGTGAGTAATTGCTAAAGGAATACTTGAAAATATTAATCTATTAATTAATCTGTGTGCCTGGACATTCTGCATCTTTGGGTACCAAGGCAATTAGCTAATCCATTTTTTTTTGCAATCATTAATTATTTCTGAAAAGTCAGAGCATTAAAGGAGCTCCAGAAAAATGATATGGGTTTTCTTTCCCCAAAAGGAGCAAACGAATTTATGGTAATTTTTCAAGAAGGGGAAAAGCTTCTTTGAGACTGCACTGGCCAAAGACTTCGATAGGAAAATAAATAGAGAATAGAATTTAATTTGGTCCTTTGCAAGGGGTCATATGACCTAAGAAGATATTATCCAATAGATATTAATACTGCCTCTCTCCTCAGGAAAGTTGTACATCTATTTCCATTTCCACAAGTGTACATATATACATACACAGAAATTTGTGTATATACAGAAAATACATATATGTATGTCTCTCCTTTGTGTGTATGCTTATACATGTAGCATGTATAAAAATGTATACATACATGTGCACATATACATCTATATCTATCGAGGGAGGAGGGGGAGAGAGAGAGAGGATCCTTTTAATTACAAATAAAGACTGTTCCTGGACTTTTGACTTCATTGGCATAGAAAGTTCTCAAAGGGGAGAAACTCCCAATATCAGTGCAGATCTGCACCTTCTCTGTAACTTAGAATCTGCCCTGAGAAATTAAGCAACTAGCGTAGTGTCACACAGCTAGTATGTGTCAGAGGAAGTCTTGAACCCTGGTCTTCCTGGTTCTGAGGGCAGCTCTCTGTCCACTATATCACACGGCCTTCTTTGTGCAGTGGTGATGTACTAGCTTTGCAATTAGGAAGACCTGGGTTCAAGTCTGCCTCTGATACATCCTAGCTTTGTGATTCTGGGTAAGTTACTTAATCTTGCAATGATCTAGGCAACTTTCCAAGACTGTGAAGTGAAAATGCATACATACATACATACACATGTTATATTTTATATATTTGCCATATTACAATGAAAGAAGAGGAAGTTTGAGTTAATACACATGTATGTATATGTGTACATGAATATCTGTGTGTTTATATAGCACTGTACAGACCCTCACCACCTTTTTTCTCCTACGAATGTTTTCACCAATCTCGAGGTCAACTTCCAAACCACTTGTCCTCCAGTCTTCCTTGGATTCTATAACCTAAGGCCATCTCATTTGGTCAGATTACTCTGTCAGACTCTGAGTTCAGGCCATATTCGTGGATTTTCTTTCCCCTTTCTTGGCTAGCAGGGGCTCTAAATCTACTGGTATCTTCCCTTCTGTCTCTAGAGATGCTAGTGATAAAGTGGATAGGAGGTGGATCTTGAGTTTAAAATCATGGTCTACAAAAGTCACATTTTGTTATCAATGATTCCTTTACCTGAAACCTCATTTTTTTTGTTAGTTGTGTGTGTACACATATATATGTGTGTACTGATACATACTAGCTGTGTCTTAGATTTGTAAAATCCATTTCACTTTCACCTATGAGATTTATCGGCCTAAGTACAGTACAGCTATTAGTTTATTCTGAGATAATCTAACTCATTTTCACCATTGATATTCAAACACATTGAATTCCAGTGTTTAACAGTGTGTGTGGGAGAGGGGGAAGGGGGAACCTACTATGCTTTTTCACCTCCCCCTTGTAGGGTTTTTACTAAATCATAAACAAAGAAGGTCATTGAGTCCTTTAGGGTGCATTCACTTAAGCCTTTTCAGGGCAAATGGGTATTCATCCCATTCTTCAAGGGCTCTAGAAAAGCAGCTTCCGCCATTTCCCTTGGCAATTCATTAATTGCTCTTCCTTAGGCACCTTTCCCATCATTCTCAGTTGGTGTTCTGGACCACTTTACAATACGATGTCATGTCATTAAAAAAAAAATTCGTTCAGAGTATTGGGAAAGAGTCTGGGGGATGGAGAACACATTGGGCAGGTAGATTTTATCCTGCAAATGAACCTAATAAACGGGAATGACAGATCTTAGAAAATTTCAGCCTTGGCTGTATTTTCCACTAAAGCTAAGGAAAATAGAGCTAATCGTCAGTGCATATAAATATTTATTTGTTTACATAACCTGTTTGCCCCTATTATATACTGCTTTATTATCAATAATCAGTAGCTAGAAGTCTCTCTCTTTCAGCTACCCTGTATTCATTTTGTCTATTCTGTACACAGAATGTAAGCTCCTTGAGGGCAGGGACTGTTTCACTTTTGACTTTGTATTCTTAGTCCAAAGTACCTGGAATTTGACAGGCATTTAATAAATGTTTATTGTTTGAGTAATGATTTCCTAAAGTGTTCATCTTGTCCCCAATGCCCAACACAATGCCAAACTTGGTAAATGCTTGAGTTGAATTAAGTATGGCTGTATCTACCACGAAATGATTTGCTGAACCAAGCTGTTGTGCTCTGTTCAAGGAAAGAGACAGGAGGAAGTGCTAGCTATGAAAAATGGACAGTTGGCATCTTGAGAACTTTGAAGGAAAAGTCACCTAAACTACTCCCCATGTTATGGTTTCTAGATGGTCACACTTTCACCAACAAGTCAATATAAATAAAAGGAAATGTATTGAAAGAGTGCCTACTCAAAGGAGACTTCAAGGAGAAACTCTGGAAAAAATAATTTTGTTCTATGTCCCTTTTCTGCCTCTTTTCCTTGCCTTCTATCATTAATTGCCTTACCAAGTGTCAGCAGCTAGTTTCCTTCCTCCCCAATAAAACTCCTACAGCTTCCCTTTAGAATGTAAGCTTCCTGAGCACAAGGAATGGTTTCACTTTTGTCATTATCCTTCATGCCTGGCACATATTGGGTAGGCACTTAATAAATGCCAATCAATTAACTGAAAAACTATTTGTCCAACTTAGTGTTTAAGGCATCCAATTCCTACTAGTGTTTTAATAAATGTTTAATTATTTGTTGCTGCTACTTTATTTTTTGGTCTGGATCTGTGATTTCATCTGTGAGGGAAGTCCTGGTAGGAGAAACTTACTCAAAATCTCAGCAAGGATTAATTTCTTCTCACCACCATCAGCTGCTTAGAAAGTTGACTGGGACACTGACAGTGACTTGCTCAGGGTCACACAGCCAATTTGAGTAAAAGTTGGGACTTAAACCCATGTCTTCCTGACTTTGACTCTCCCCACTAAGTCACACTATTCCTCCTATTGCTACATTTGGAGTCTTGAAGATATTTAGAAGTACTGCCTTGCTTCTGGGACCACTGTTAATTCAAATCAGGGCAATGTAAAACCAGAATAAGTGTAAAATAGATACTTAGGTCCAAATGTACTAGAAAGAAAACTGCAGCCGGACCTAGAGCCATCTGCCATCCTGTATAACACTTTAGAATTTTACAAACATTCTTTCCCATGACTAGGATCCCTATCCCTACAAATTTTCAGACTACTATACCACAGAAAGGAAAAGGCTTTTGTTTTCCTATAGGAATTATCAGTGAACTACATTACTGAAACCTAGTACTATTACTATTTCTTTCACTTGCTATATGAATATCAATGGGTTTTCTTTTTGCCTTGCTCATCTTTCATTAAGTTACCTTTGCTATAGGCGTTTTGGTCACTTACAAATATTTCTCCATAGAAAACCCATTTTTCAGCACTGGTTAAACAAAATGTTCTGGGAAAAGAAAATGGTCGATTTCATTTGATTTTGCTTCTTCAAAGTTGAAAGCTTACGTATATATGGAGCTTCACAAGGGAAGGGTCCCCAAAGGCTTTCCAGTCCAACCACATTTGTAAATTTCATCTGCAGAGTTGAGAAGCCCAGTTGGAACAGAGGGGGCAGAGGCTTTACCCTGGGAGTCATCAAAGTACTTTATTGTATAAAGCCTTGCTCGTGTCTGGAGTGGAGTTTTAGCACTAGGAGACACAATGTGCACTTCCTTACCCTGTCCAAATAAACAGTTTATTGACAGCAATGAAGGACAAAGACTGTTATAGACCCAAAAAAAGTATTTTTGTAAATTTCTAAAAAGCATAAACATATTGGCCACAATGAAGAAAAGCTATTCAAATGATGTCCAGATACCACATCTTAATTTCACGGTTTCTCTCTTTGCAGTCTACTACCACGAGAAACCATGGCAGGCTAAAAAAAAAAATGAAATGGGTATGATGCCAGATTAAGAATCTAATCACAGTATCCATTCATTTAAATACATAAAATACAGATTTGTACAATTATATTACAGTGGTGTTAACTTCCTCCATTGAGGGTAACAAAACTATGTAAAAATCAGCACACAGCAGTGGGGATGACACAGCCTTTGGCTCCTGGAGATACTGTGATTTTGGCCCATTCAGTGTTTCTCTGAAGTAAACCCTACACACACCATGCCCAGTTGCAGTCTGAACAGCACTGATGTTAACATTACTGGAAGAGGCATCCTGCCAGGCTTGGGTTTGTTTTCGTTCTAAGTAATCATTGGAGGGTGTGATTTTTTCTTTTTACCCCTGAAAATGCCTACAAAAAAAAATCATCTCATGACTTAAACAAAGAATTTTAAAGGCACAGCTTCAACACAGTGTATAAGTTAATAACATACTCTAAGCCAACCTAATTCCTTTTGGCTTGGCACCTTTCAGAGGATGCAGGGAAGCTGGTAGAAACAGGATCAATGTTGAAAAATTTTTAAACATGATTAAATGCAATCAGCACAGTTTTAGGCAATGAATATGCACAACCAGATCTGGGAAAAACATTTCGGAAAAAGAATCATTCAGTTGACAAAAGAACATTTGAGAGGAAACAAAAACAGAATGGCCTTTTTTAGTTTATTGTAAAAGACTTATCTATCGTGGACTTGGAAGAAGTATCCATTCTGGTACATTGCTGCATGATACACCTCAAGAAATGCAAACATTGTTTCATCTACGCTGCAAAATAACTTTACATGTAAACTTCAAAAAAATCACATACTGTACATAAAATTTTAGATTCAAAAGTATCCCTGTTTTCCTAATAATGTAAACAGTAAAATTGAAGGTTTCCATGAAAGGGATAATTTATAACAAAATACCACTGCTTAATCAGTGGTCAAAAACAAGCATTTTAAAATTTCAGATTTGTTTTCCTTCCGTAGCAGGAGAATTGAGATTTCTATCACTTTGCTCATCCCCTCAAGTTGGAAGATGATACTATTGCCCAAAACTATGCAGTCCCCCCCCAAAAGCTATTTTTTTCCCATGTAGCATCAATTCTTATGTTGCAATAGAAGAGTGTAACAATGGAGAAGCTCCAGGCAATAAAAGAGAATAAGCAGTTTTTCCTTGACATAATTTACTGAGGTGAAAATGTAACTGACAGAGCAACTATAACATCAGCCTCCCATTAGAAGAGAGAAAGTAACTCCTTGACGCTGGAAGTTCTGACATGATATACTTGAGGCAAAACAGTGCAAAGGCAAAGGCGGGGAATGCTAACCACCCGTCTGGTGCCAAGGGGTTAACTTTACAGTTATTAAGGAGTGCGCCAGCGTGCGGAATAGAAGTGTAACATTCGCGGTATGTTTTTTTTTTAAATCATCATCATCATCATCATTATTATTATTATTATTATGAATACTGTCTCATGTCTTTCAACGCAAAAAATAAACTGATCCACAGTTTACAGTTGGATGCCAACGTGGCTGCTATGACATGCATCTGGTTCTCCCCTCCCCCCACTTGTTCATTCATTCATTCACTCCACCACAGCTAGCTGTATCAGAGGGTCACTACTGCAACCTGCTCTGAGTAAAGCTAATCTATTTTAATTAATTAATTATATTTTAATTTTTTTTTAAATGCACACACACAAAAGAGTCAGAAGTAGCTAGAGCTATGCTGGGAAATATCAGGTAGCTGTTAGAGCAAATCGCCCCCTAGTCCATCATCTTGGCCTGAGGAGGTAAACGTGAGGAGGCTTGCTTTTCTGCAAGAAGAGCATGTCACTGAGTTCCATTTCCATTCTTTTTCTTCCTTAATTGAAACCAGCTCTGCTGTGTTCCCGCATCTCATGTCTGTCCATCCCCTGGGCAATATGGGAGGTTACGTCAAAATGTGGCCGATAAAGTCCAAGAAGCGCTTTGAATACTGTTCAGGGTTCACGGTTGAGATCTCTGCACCAGCCTGTGCCAATTTAAAAGGAAAAAAAATAAGGATGGGGAAATGGATATTGCTATGATTCTTTCCATTTCTAAACCCAACAATTAAAAGGCAAACCCACACTATTGAATGGCTACTTCCAACTACAGTCATACCTGATTGTAACTCAACAATTGCCATACCCATTCAGTCCTCCATTTTACTGTGCTGTTTATTAATACATTAGCAGGAGGGTTCAAATAATCAAGGTCTTTCTAGTGATGACAGAAAACAGTGGACAGTATTGTGATTTTTGGTAGCTTGGGAAAAAGAAATCAACTACCTTTGGATTAAATCTATGTGTGGCATATTGAGGGGAATGGACACAGCCAAACATCTGGCAGAATAACACTTCAGCCAGATGACTGCATAAGGACTGCCTTCATTGTCCATGGCCCTCTTAGCATATGACTGGCTTAAGTGGCTGAGTCCTCAACAATAGGGACAGACAATAGGAGCAGCAGCAGATTCAGAGACCGGCTGGCCTAATGAAGCCAGTTAGAACACATTCTGAGGGTAGCTTCAGATCAGTTTCTTTCTTTTGAGCTTTTCTTCCTCAAACTTCTCATAGCATTTTGCCCAGACCCTTCTTTCGTCTCTCACCCCTCTCTCCTCCTCCCCGCCCCCCCGCCCCCCGCCTCTCTCAATCTCTCTCCCTCCCCTCTCCCTTCCATCACTTGTGTACTTGTCCCTCCCTCCACTAGACTGTAAGTTCCTTGAAAGAAGGGCCTGGGTTGTTGCCCAGAACAGTTATTTGCTAAAAAAATAAAAAATAAAAAAAAAAGATGTTTAATACAGGTTTATAGAAATGAATTCCTCACTAGCATCCTTGCTCCTTCTCTCTCTCTGGGCTAACCTCATCAGAGACAGGGCAGGCTAGATTTCCTCAGCAGCAGGCCACGGTGGAGGAGAGCGCATGCATTGGCCACTGTCCTTCTCAAGCTGTGTCTAGAGCCAGGGGATCAGCCAGGGGGGTCTCTATTTTTAGGCCCATAGTGCTGCTAATCAGTTGTCAAGCAACTACTGGTGAGCTCATTAATTTCCTGACTGTAAAGGATAACTCCAGGCTTTGAGTGAGTCACCAAATGATATTTTTAGGTACCTATATTGACTGGGTAATCTGTTATTTCTCATGTCTGGCTTAATGTGCTATGCTTTACCTCAGAAGTTCAAGGATCAAGACAAACGGTAGAAATTCCCAGTAGAGTCAAAAACCAATGGTGCCATTAAATTCAATGTCTTGCAAAATGCAAGGTTTTTCAGGCTATGTTATATAACATATATAACATTACATTAAATAGCGGCAGAGTAGAAAGGGCACTGAATTTCAAATCAAAGGATCTGGTTTCAAAGCCTAGCTCTTACGGTCACTACCTGCATCACTTGGGGCAAGTCACTCAGCTTTTCTTGGCCTCAGTTTCCCTCACTGTTACAAAAAGGGTTTGGATGAGATGATCTCTGAGGTCCCTTCCACCTTTAGCTAGATGATTTTAAGACCTGGGCTTCAACTCTCTTTCTGTCATATATTATCTCTGTGACAATGGGGAAGTAATAGTTTCTTGTGGCCTCAGTTTCCCAATATGTATAATGAAGGTGTTGGACTGGATGATTTGTAGAGTTCCTTCTAGTTCTAAATTTCTGATGCTCTGATAGGGCTGAATGGGTGGTTGGCTAGGAAGAAAAAAAATAGAATACATGTCATAAGAACTCTGTTGGAAAGTGGAAGCGCGATGAATGAGGTTCAGAATGCATTTGCTATCAAAAATTTAAAAGGAGTATCCTCCACACTCAGGTGGAATTGAAAATGCATTTCATATTAACAAATATTTGTTGAATGAATGTATGTATGGATGGATGGAGGAATGAATGAATGAATGAATGAATGAATGAATGAATGAGAGGATTTCTTTGGTGAAAAGAATACTGACTTAAGATGATTCTGCTTCTGGGAGGTCAGCCTGTTCTCTCAGGGAAGGAAATGGGACCTTTAGCATTCGATGGTTCTGGTTAATTTGGCTGGATCCTCATACTCTATCAGGAAAGCACCTCCTTTTATAGCCTGGGGTTCTTAACTTTTTGTGTGTCATGGACTGCTTTGGCAGTCTGGTGAAGCCTATGGTCCCTTTCTCAGAATCATGAATAAAATAAAATACACAGAATTGCAAAGGAAACAAATTATATCAAAATACAGTTATCCAAATTAAAAACAAAACAAAACAACCAACAAACCAAGTTTGCAGTCTCCAGATAAAGAACCCCTGCTCTTCATCAGTGTTGCTACACTTAAGTTCATCTGTACGGGTTGGGCAGTGTGGCTTTTTGTTTCACCCACACTGCCAAAAAAAAGGGGTCCTTTAATGCAAGCGTTATTCAATAACTGTCAAATTATGAGGAGGAATTTTAGCACACAGTGACCTGTTTGCCTAACACTTTAAAAGGCTCCATTACAAACAAAAATGAAATTCCTTGAAGGGTAAGAAAAATACTACCACACATGTTGGCACAGTCTTGGGCAGGGAATACCATAATTAAGAATGCAATAGTCCCTTAATTCTGAACATTTAAATATTAGAATTCTTAACACATCCTCAGCACTTTTCATTTTTAAAGCATTTTCTCAATAGGAGTTAATGAATTCATATAATGCCCCAGTGATGCATGCACCTATTAATAGCCCCCATTTGCAGAGTGAACAGCTTTAGGCAAGGAGTTTAAGTGACTTGCCAAAAGGGGATATTAGACCTGGAAGTAAAAGCTGGTACCTGTAGGTTCATAATATGATGCTCGGAATGTGAGGCCTTCCTGGCAATCGATATCACTACATTGCTTTACCTATCCAGAAAAGGAAGACCACCTGGTATAAGCAATTCCACCAGCTCAGAAGAGATGGAAAAGAAGAAGAAAAAAAAGAGAGAGAGAAACTTACGCCATGTTTAACAGTTTTTGCAGCGTGGGCAGCTTTCTTTTTTGCATCATAATGAGTAAGAATGTCAATAATAGCCATAAAATAGACCTCTTTCCTAGGTGCATCTGAAAAAGAATGACAACAAAATGACACCACTATTATCACATGAGCTTTATGCAATATCCCTTCCATAGTGCAAATGAAAAGCAGAGCCTCTTAGAGAGTGGACATTTTTCAGGGTGAAAATAGCAGAAAAAAATGACTGGCTGAGAGGGACAGAGAGTAAAGTGGCATATAAAACGTCTTAATGGAATAGGAACATTGGAAGGGGTCAGAAAACAGAAGTTCTAGCTTTTAAAAAAAGTTTAAATTACCACTATATATTTTTAATTTCTAATAACACACATCTGTACACATACATATATATGTACATGTGCTTATGTAAACATGTACACATACACACACACATACGTACATTTATAGCCAAATAAGAAGATCAAATTCATGCCCAATACTGTCTCTAAATACATTATGTCAGTGATAAAAATTCAAATTCTCTCAAATAAGTGTTGAATAGTTACTCTTTTTGGAATCTGCATACCATCAAGGGATTCATTCTGGTTTATCAACACTCTCACAGAAATAACATTATAAAAGAGAAGACAAGGGAACCAGCCTAGACGATGTCTATTTCAATTCATAGTCTCAAATGAAATTGTTTCACTAATGAACAAAAGGAGGAGTATTTGGTCACACACAGTTTTCTGTTACTAAAGCAACTTGACAAACAGAATCAAAACAAAGCCAACTTCCTTTGATATGTCCATTCAGGTGTGGTTTTTACAACAATCTGAGGCAAAAGAAGAGACTTTACTTTTGCTGGACTTTGCAAAATACTTCTGACTTGTTTCATGTAATTTAAGTGAAGCTAAAATGATAATTCCTCAAAAATAAATGAATCAAGCTAGATCATGATTTTGTATTTTATCTGAAAGACTCCTAAAACAGGTCACATTCAGGCACCACTGTAATGACCAATAATATGTTATGGACAAGAATCATACAGGATGGGAAGGGATGAATGGAGTGCAATCTGCATTGTGGGAGATGAAAAATCCACAGTCAATGAGAGCATAGATCCATTTTTTGTGTATGTAGTGTTAGATATATTACCTCTGAGGTAGTAAATAGAATCTTCTTAGTAAGTGCTGGCAAACTTATCAAGCTTTTGAGATTGGGAAGCAAGGAAGACCATAGTCAGCTGGAAAAGCTGGAATTAGCCAAGATGGAATCCCTCAATACGGGGGATTCATTACCACTATCCCCCAAAAAGTGCATTGGGATCCTATAAAAAATCATCTAAAATATAGGCATTTGCTACAACAGAGTCTTTCAACCCTTTCAATACTCATATGAAGGAAAGAGAATCTGCTCTTAAGTTATGGATAGCAGCCTTGGGTCTTCCAATGAGATTTTTAGCAAAAGTTCTCGTTAGAGCTGACTACATCTTCAGTGTCTGTGAGATGAGGTAAGGTGGGCAGTAGGAAAGTTATAAGATCATCATGAAGCGTCCTTGAATCTCATGATATTGGCAATCCAATAAGCAAGCTGTGGTCTCATTCTATTCCCAGACTTCATGATATACAAAAAATTCAACCTGTTAAATTAAAAAACACAGGGTATATAGATACTCTCAATGTTCCCTTGTCCTAAAATCAACCTCTGAAGAACATGATAAAGTGTGTCATTCATATTTATTTAGTCAATTTCAGGATTTAAAAAAATTACCATGCAAAAATCACATTTCATATGCCAGAAAAATAGTTTTAGGAACTCAGCTTACTTTCATGGCATTTTATCCCATAGACATCAATGTTTGGATCAAATTCCCCAGGAGCCAAGGGCGGTGAGCTGTTGAGTGTGTTTCCTGGACTGTCTGGAGGAGTTCCAATAGGGTGGGTCCCATCGCTTTCCCCTTCCTCTTCACCATCATTTTCCTCACACTCTACCTCTTCCTGTTCTGCTCTCTCAACATCATGAATTCCAACCAGCAAGCTGTAGTCCATAAGCTTGAGCTGGGCAAGAAACTGGAAGGAGTGAAAGGCAACGTTACTCCAGCGTGAGTTACCCAAGTGTGAACCAAAAAAGGCTTTTAAAAACTTCAAAAATCAAGACTGAAACAAAACAAAACAAAACAAAACCCAATAGCTGAGGGAAAACACTTTAAAGGGGGTGGGGGTAGGTGAGAATATAGTGGTTCCTGAGGCAAGATGAGTGTTTCCCTAGAAGGTGGTGAGTAGCCTCTGAGCATGTTTTGATTTATGAGAGCCCTTAGCTTCTGAGGTTGTCTCACTGGCCAAGAATGTTGCCTCACACTTCCGGCTGGCTCAGAGCTGGTGTTTTTTTCCTCCAAAATGCAAACCTGGGCACTACCATGTATACATTTTTCACATCTAGGCTGGATTACAACAATGCCCAGAAGGTCAGGCTGCCACAGAAGAAACATTAAGAGATGGTTCCCCCCCCCCCTTATGAGATTTTTTTTCTTCCTTCTTATTAGTGAAGAATTACTAATGGCCACTGAACTTAGACCTCCCAAGTAGCTTGGGCCAGAAGTCTCTTGATATGGTTTGTACCATTTACACTTGAAACCACTCTTAATCTCAATCACAAACCCCAGTGAGGACAGATCCTTATGTTGTTGGTTAAGGTCCTTCCCCTAACCACCCCCTAGCTCCTGCAAATAAGTAAAAGCCCAAATGTCCCAAATTATAGTGCCAACATGTGGTTTTAAGAAGTTATTCTGATGGTTTCCCTTCAGATTTGAAAGTGGTTTGTTTTCTCTGAGGACTTCAGCTCTCCTATATACCTTCCTTCCCTCCAGTCCACTCCCCGTCCAGTAACCTGACAAAGGCCAAGTGTGGTGAATGGAGGGAAATGGAAGTGACTTTGGGGAAAGAGATCTGAGTCTGGCCATGTGCTTCCTTGCTATTTAATTCATCTGGATTTGCTAGAATTATGTTACTTGTTCTGGTAGATGTGCTTGGTCTTAGGCATAGGTTTGTAATTCTAAAAAATAACACGGAACAAAGAAAGCACAGCTGCCTACCTGCTGCTTGAAGGTGAACATCTAGGCTACATCACTCAAGCCTCTGCTCTATCCTCTGGTGGCTGGCTGCTTACAGGTTCCAACTGAGGCTCTGACCATTATGCACATGGCCCTACACGGACTTGACCCAGACCTTGAGGAACTGACTGTTCACCCCATTAGGCTGACACACAATAGCTGACTGTCCTCAGGTTTCTACTGTCAGAAGTTGAAAAATAAAATTGGCTTTCTTAGTAAAGGTACAGGACTGAGCTTTCAAGGCTTGGGACTCTGGGAGAAAGCTATGAAGAGAGAAGGAATGCATAAACCTTCTATTTCTCATTTTTGTTGTTGTTGTTGTGTTCTTTTGTTTTGTGCAATTCCCTTAATACTGAGAAAGCTCAGCCTTGGAATTGAAAGCAAGATCCACCTTATACTCTAAAGATAATAAAAGTTAATAATATTAGCTAACATTTATTCAGTGCTGCAAAATTTGCAAAGGGCTTCCATGTGTTATCTTATTTGATCCTCACAACAACTGTGTGAGATAGGTGCTGTTATTATCCTCATTTTACAGAGAAGGAAACTGAGGCTGAGAGAGGTCAAGGCAGGATTTGCCCTCATCTTCCTGACTCCAAGTGAGGCGCTCTATCCATTCCCACCAGCCTAGTAGCCTCACCTAAGATGGTTAAGAGGGCCACTCTAAGGCCATGTCTATTCTCATCTCCTTTCCTCACTCTTAGAAGAGAGAACTGATTCCACAAATTGTTCCTTAAAAAGCCTCTCCTCTCCTTGCCTTTCTTCTCTTAATTCTTACTTTAGCTTCTATTTAATACTTGTGCCCCTCAACCATGAAATCCCACATTATCATTCTAAATGCTTTTGGGAGAAGGGAGAGAAATAACATACATAGATTTTATAAAAGTGGTTCATTGAAACCAAATGGAAGTCTACTTTTCAACAGATAAAAGCATTTATACATTATCAAGAATGGAAAGTATTTAACATGATGAAACAGATAAAGCTTATTCAGCAAAGATCCACAGAAATTTAATTTGTCAGTTTTCTTTCTCCTAAGAAGAGGTGAAGTTGGCTTCCCTTCCCTTCATCTTTTTCAGGCTGCCATATTAGCAGATTGGGCAGCTACATGGTACAGTAGACAGAATGTTAGACCAGGAGTTAAAACCTGGCCTTTGACACAAGCTCTGTGAGGTGACCCTGGAAGTCAGTTAACCTTGTTTGCCTCAGTTTCCTCTTCTGTAAAATAAGCTGAAGAAGGAAATGGCAAACCAGTATCACTGCCATGAAAACCTCAAATGGATGCATGAAGAATTGGACATGACTGAAAATGACTGACCAACAACACTAGCAGAATTACAACAAGTAACATGTTCAGTCTCTATGCTCTGATGACCTCCTTCTCTCTTGCCCAATATTTTTATTGGTTGATTTTTTATTCATAAGATCATAGATTCAGAAGTGAGAGGAATCTTAGAGATCACTTAGTATATCCTCTCATTTTACAGATGAAGAATCTGAGGTTAAATGATTTGTCCAAGGTCACAAGGATAATAAGGAGCAAAGCTGGGATTTGAACCCAATTCATCTGATTCACTCTTGAATGAAATGGGGGGGGGATGGGAAAGGAAGAGAAAAAGGACTTATATAGCACCTGCTATGAGTCAAGCAGTTAGTGGAAAGAGCACTGCACCTTAAATCAGGAAGACCTGAGGTCAAATTCGGCCTCAGACACTTACTAGCTGTGTGACCCCCGGCAAGTCACTTAATCTCATTTGCTTTAGTCAACTGGAGAAGGAAATGGCAAATCACTCTGGTACCTTTCCCAAGAAAACCCCATATATACACCAGGGTCAGGAAGAGTCAGACACAGATGTACAACAACAACATGCCAGGCACTGTGTTAAGCAGTCTACACCTATTATCTCATTTCATCCTTACAACTACCCTGGGAGGTAGGTGCTATTATGATACCCATTTTACAGTTGGGGAAACTGAGGCAAACAGCAATTAAGTGACTTGCTGAGGGTCATGTAGCTGGGAAGTTATCGGAGGTCATATCTGAATTCATATCTTCCTGACTTCCTGACTCCAGTCCCAGTATTCTATCCACTTTGCTCTATACCCACCTAGAAATATTAAGAGCATCTCCCCAGTGGGATCAATTTAGGAATACACATATTTGTGTTGTACTGTTGGACTTGGAGTCAGGTAAACCTGATGCTCAATACCTGTGTGACTCTGGGAAAGTCAATCTTTCTACGTGCCTTAGACTAGAGATGTCCAACACTTGGGGAAGTGCAACAGAACTAGATTAAAATGCAAATTGGGAAATATTTAACAAAATAAATAAAACACAATAGAACACAGATAATGTTAACATGTGGCTTTTCTAAGTCAATATGTGGCCCATGGAGATCTTTATGTATGGTGCAGTGACTCCTATTTTTATTTGGGTTTGACACTACTGCCTTAAGACAACTTCCCCAGAGCTACAGAACTCATTCTTGCCCCCCACTGATGAAATCATTGATCCTTCATGTATCTTCTGCACATATCTCTGCTGATTGCCTTGTCCAAGATGGAACAGGCACACAGACCCAGCTGGATGAAAAATCTAGGGCTGGGTCTAAACAAAGCTAAAATATCCCCATGAAAAGTAGAAAATTAATTATCATCATGATCCTCATCATCACTGCCATTTATATAGTACTTGAAGGTTAACAAAGTGCTTTACATACATTATCTCATTCAGTGATTACAACAACCCACGTGAAGTAGATCATGCGAGCACTATAATTAACTACATTGATGCAAGCATAATGTCCATAACGAAGGGGAGGTGATAGTGTCTTTGTACTCTGCCATGTTCCGACCACATCTGAAGTCTTGCCCATTCTGGGCAGGCCATTTTAGAAAGGCATAATCTTAAGCAAGCCTGGTGGAAGACCAGATGGAGAGGGGACTTGAAACTATGCTATGTAAGAACTGGTTGAATGAACTCTTTCCCAGGGACATGATTGTTGCCTTTGGGTATGTGAAAGGCTGTCATGTGGAAAAGGACTACACCTGTTTTGCTTGTGGGGATTACACTTGTTTTGCCAGAGGGCAGAACCAAGTGTAAATGGGTCACAAGGACCATTTAATAACTATTTATTGAAGTTTCAGAGACTAAGATTTCAGATCTATATAACTTTTCATCAACCAAGCTGTCCAAAAATGGAATGGATGAACATGGCAGGTATGAGCTTGTCAATACTAGAGACCTTCAAGTGGCAGCTGCAGGACAGCTGGTTGGGGATGTGCAGGTGGATCCTCTGGTAGAGGGGATTACTAGTTAGGCATGGGTTGGGCTAGATAACCTCTGAGATCCCTTCCAACTCTATGATGCCATGATTTTATAACATGATGAGGAAATAGGTTCAGAGAGGCTTGCCCACACTGCTCATCAGGGGCAGATGAGGGACCTGAACCCAGGTATTCCATATCAAAACACAAGATTCTTAACCTGGGGTCTGTGAACTTAAGTTTTTAAGAACTGTTTTGATAACTGTTATTTCAATATAACTGGTTTCCTTGATAATCCTATGTACTGTGCTTTATGCATTTAAAAACATTTTTCTGAGAAGGGGTGCACCAGTTTTACCAGACTCCCCAAGGGGCACAAGACCCCCCAAGAAGTCTATAGTCAAGGCAGAATGATGTAGTGGAGAGAACACTGGGTTTGAAGACAGAGTCCAAATTGGTCTAGATCCTGGCCCTGCTATTTACTTACTTGTATAACACTGGACAAATCATTTGACTTCCATGGGCCTCAGCAAACCTGTAAAATGAGAGCTGGACAAACTAGCTTCTAGCTCTAAATCAAGGAACCTCTTTCATCTTGCTATGAGCCATTATGTCTATACAGCTCTAAACAGTGCCAACTATTCAGAAACACAGGACTCAACTCTGCTTTTAAAGTTGCCTTAAAGGGGGGGG